TTTATTGATAATCTGGCATGTTCCGTTTGGGCCTCCCCTCGCACGTCCTTAAGCATCGTACAGACACCCCCATTCATGCATGGCTAGTTACAATGATAAAAACAACTGAGCATATTCTTGGAACACTGTAAAAGTAATTTGTTATTCAATATTAGAATAGACATTTTTCATATAACCTAATATGTTTTTTCATTGACCATATCTGCATATCCAACCACACACATTTGGTAATATTTGTTGTCACTACAATGTGGCTTTTTTTAATAGACTTGTTTCTACTGATATATTATTAAACCATTTTGACATGATAAGTGGGTGAATAGCATATAGTAGTATATGGTATTTTGTTCAATCTTTATTTAACATGAAGATGAGTCACAAAGGTTTGAGTACATCTTCTATTTAGACAGCTAGTCTTACAATGACATTTATTACCAGAAAATTGCAGCCTGTCAAGAGATATTGTTTCTGTTCTGTCAGCCTTGTAATTGACTTTAAGTTGTCTTGCTGCACAATCCAGGTTATAAATCCCCAGGACCCAGTCATGTCCCAAACAGTTACAACAGAAAAGCTGTTCTTACAGGTAAAATTCTCTATAATAATAACTGATAAAGTATCTCATAATGTCAACTTATTATACTAACACTTACCTTAAATTTAATCCTACACCACAAAATTAAAAATAATTTAACTGATTTAACTCCAGAAGATTTCTCTGAAAATTTCTTCAATGTCAAAGAACCCTCTGGTTACTTTGGTCAAGTGGACACTAGAGAAATGACTGGAAGATTAATGGGAAAATTTATATGGAGTAATATTTTCACTTATTTAATGAAGAAGGCAGCCAAGAGTTATTTTCATAAAATTGACTTGGACCATAGTTTGATTAGATGGGAAAGTCAACTCTAGGGATTACATTAATCTTTTGCAATGGCAACATAGACTTTACCATACACTTGTGGATAAAGAAAAAATTTTTTCAAGAAGACAATGGAAGGCTGATAATAACTTAATTAATCTTCCTTGGCCTCAGAAAGAAAAATATTGCAAAATAAATGGTTATGACAGACACTATGTAATAATAAATTGGAGATTGTCTTACATTTTGAGTAATTACTCAACAAGTGTAAACAAAATATTCATGTATTTGACATGTGCAGCAGAATGTTTTTATGTAGAAATGTTTACAATTAGTTTCTTTGAGTTACATTAGAACAAATTTTTATCTTTAACATAAACTTATGCTAAACACGTTTACTTATCATCTTTATGACTGATTGTATTACAGTTAAAACAATTATCAAATGAACTTTATTAGTCACAATAATACTCCAAAATTATCACATGTGGATGACTCTTATACCATCAATGACTTTAATAAAATCAAATAGGATTAAAGTCTGAAACTGAAAACACCTCCCAATCAACCCAGTCAAAATAATCTGATGAATGCCTAAG